TCTCTAGCTCTTCGTCTTGCCAATCTTCGTCCTCCGTCTCTCCAACTGAAACTGACTCCTCTATATCGTTCTTCTGAACGTTTTCCGAACTTCCCATTGGGGTAAAGAATTTCTCCAGTCTCTCTGTGTTTACGCTTTTTGGCGTATTTTCCACCTCCAGGCTTATAGGCAGGGTTATTTCCCCGAAAGGGTTTTTGGTCCCTGCTGAAATTGTACTTTTGGCCTTTTTTGTCGGCGTCCTGGGCAAAGACGAGCGTCTCACCGATGGATCATGTTCACCTTCCCAATTATATGACATACTACCTGTTGTTTGGTTTTTTGTTCCAGAGTTAACGCCTTTTTCACCATCCTGGTTCCCTGATGGTGTAGGGTGTTTTGAATTTAATAAATCGTCCATATGAAATCCCACGAGAAGGGCAGAAATACATGTCCAGCGGGGCAGTGCTCCCTTACCCCGCTAAGGCCTTCCTTTGGTTTTTACGCCTCCGGCTACCCCGCGCGCCCTCGCCATGACGCCGGGGGGCTGCTCGCGACCCTCTTCGGGGGGCCATTCATCCCTCCCCGCAGTTGCCCAGGGTTAGATTCCGTTTTGGTTTTCTGTCGGGGTTTTCCTTCCCTTAGCCGATGGTCCCCGTTTTATGGCGCCGGGAACTCGCCATTCGCCCTCCCGTTCTGGGTCGGACTTGTCGGTTTGCTTTTGTTAGCCGGGCGTAGTGTTCTTGAGACTGGCATTTATTAGCGTCACTTTATCGGCATAGGTGACCCCACCAGTGCCCCACCGACCATTTTGAGCTGTTTGTCGGCTTCACTACCCATTCCCGTCCCGTTAAGGCTCGAGAACAGGGAGCTACTGAACCACTCCACCAACGGTAAGGTCTTACAGCTCCTAGGAGTGGAACCTAACCTAACCTAACCTAACCTAACCTAACCTAACCTAACCTAACCTAACCTAACCTAACCTAACCTAACCTAACCTAACCTAACCTAACCTAACCTAACCTAACCTAACCTAACCTAACCTAACCTAACCTAACCTAACCTAACCTAACCTAACCTAACCTAACCTAACCTAACCTAACCTAACCTAACCTAACCTAACCTAACCTAACCTAACCTAACCTAACCTAACCTAACCTAACCTAACCTAACCTAACCTAACCTAACCTAACCTAACCTAACCTAACCTAACCTAACCTAACCTAACCTAACCTAACCTAACCTAACCTAACCTAACCTAACCTAACCTAACCTAACCTAACCTAACCTAACCTAACCTAACCTAACCTAACCTAACCTAACCTAACCTAACCTAACCTAACCTAACCTAACCTAACCTAACCTAACCTAACCTAACCTAACCTAACCTAACCTAACCTAACCTAACCTAACCTAACCTAACCTAACCTAACCTAACCTAACCTAACCTAACCTAACCTAACCTAACCTAACCTAACCTAACCTAACCTAACCTAACCTAACCTAACCTAACCTAACCTAACCTAACCTAACCTAACCTAACCTAACCTAACCTAACCTAACCTAACCTAACCTAACCTAACCTAACCTAACCTAACCTAACCTAACCTTACCTAACCTAACCTAACCTAACCTAACCTAACCTAACCTAACCTAACCTAACCTAACCTAACCTAACCTTACCTAACCTAACCTAACCTAACCTAACCTAACCTAACCTAACCTAACCTAACCTAACCTAACCTAACCTAACCTAACCTAACCTAACCTAACCTAACCTAACCTAACCTAACCTAACCTAACCTAACCTAACCTAACCTAACCTAACCTAACCTAACCTAACCTAACCTAACCTAACCTAACCTAACCTTTACTTACACTAACAAAAATGAATTTAAGTTCCACTAAATCCCTACAAACACTGTAAGTAAACTAGTAAGCATTTTCTTGCCCCATCCTTTTTATATTATTGTATGACCAAAAAGTGTTACTTCTAAGATTTTGAAAAATGTTGATAGGAATTAAAAATTATGCCCAAGTTTAAATTCATGGTTTTCATCATTTAGATAAAAATCAATTTTAATACAATAAATAAATGAACAATTATTGCTGAAGTGTTTATTTCGAAAAAGTTTTAATTTTTATCTTCCAATTGTTAATTTTCTAAATAGATGGCCATGGATCTAATCTTAGACAGCATCTTTATTTCCACTCAAAATTTGAATATAAAAGTAAGTACTTCACTCTTCATTATCAATCTTTTTTTTTTTTTTCTATATTCCACCAAATATTTTACAAATTTCATTTTTGATAATTGATTTTTAAATGATACAAAACTTTTTACTAATATTAATATTTGTTTGTGAACTGTTCTCTATACAGTGACAAATAAAAAAAATCTGATGTGTCCAACACATGACTTTCCTATCTAGTTATTATAGGCTTTTTCCGGTTATTTTGTACAACCTATTGCAGCATCTCTATAAATGTTTAGAGGATAAACTAAATATACATACATACTATACATTGTCCACATACATCTACCTTGAAACATTTTTCTATATTCATTGAAAACGAAAATACTGAAAAATTTAAATTTAGCACTTTTCCATTACGGTCCATTTTAGAAAAATCATGTATAAACAAAAATTATAGAGATCGATATCGCAAACAACAATTTTCATAAAAATCAGAATTTTGCACATTTTGTCAAATTTCTCGAATACGGACCATTTTAGGAAATTTTGACATAAAATAAAAATTATAGATAATAATATTAGAAGTAACTTTTATTTGAACAATTTTTATAAAAAATAATTCTTTTTACATTTTGTCAAATTTCTCGAATACGGACCATTTTAGGAAAATTTTGTATAGAACAAAAATTATAGATAATTATATTAGAAACTGGGGTGGGTTGGCTCAGTGGTTAGAGTCAAGACTTTGAGATCGGAAGGTCTCAGGTTCGAATCCCACCGTTGGCCGGGATTTTCTCATTTAATTTAATTATATGAAATTAATTCTGATGCCTTGGTAGGATTCCCCACTCGACCATTCACTGTTGGGTTCTAATTAACAGTGCTGTTCCTAAAGTGGCGCTGGGAAACAGTAACAAAGCCTACACAGAACACGAGGCTAATGGCCGTAGTAGTCGACGCCGATGACACCAAAATAAAAAAAATTATATTAGAAGTAACTTTTATTTGAAGAATTTTCTTCTCCAAACGTAAATAACAGATATATTCCATAAAATATAAAAATGACCACCTATAAAGTACCCCTCCAGATGTTCCGACTCTGCCCAAAATCTAATCAGTTCATTAGACGATGAAATAAAGCTTAAGTTTACAATTTGGTGTTTTTCTGTGAATCGGTTCATGAGTTATGCGACATACAGACACACACACACACACACACACACACACACACACACACACACACACGCACGCACGCACGCACGCACCCACACACACACACACACACACACACACACATACACACAGACACACACACACACACACACACACACACACACACACACACACACACACACACACACACACACACACAGACATCATCGCGAAAATAGTCAAAACGGATTCAGGGGACCTCAAAACGTAAAAATCCGTCGAAAACTCGAGGTCGAAAAAAATCATGATTTCTATACTTTCCTTATATCTGTATACAGATAGGAAAGTAAAAATAATAATTCAACTGTTGATTTTAATTTTTTTATTTGTCAATAGGTCTTTGAGACACTGTATAGACATTTCCAATCACATTGAAAACAAATTAAAACATATCAGGAAGTAATAATAATATTATTTAAAATTTAATTAACTATGTTTTATGATTCACATTATTAAAAACTTTCAGATAAGGCGATGTTTGTTAGTTATGTCTAAACACTTTATTTTCACATTAAAATTTCTGCGATAGGTGATAAGAACCAATTTTTATCCTAATTGCAATGTATGTCAGATATATAAGTCTATGTCTCACAAACATAGTTTGATTATTTTTAATAAACATGTTATTTATTCTTCTAATATTATTATCTATAAATTTTGCTTCATGTCAAAATTTCCTGAAATGGTCCGTATTCGAGAAATTTGACAAAATGTGCAAAATTCTGATTTATATGAAAATTGTTGAACTAAAAGTTGTTTGCGATATCGATCTCTATAATTTTTGTTGATACATGATTTTTCTAAAATGGACCGTAATGGAAAAATTGTAGGAAATGTGCTAAAAATGTTTCAAAGTAGATGTATGTGAAAAATGTATATATTTAGTTTATCCTCTAAACATTTATAGAGGTGTTACAATATAGCCTATAATAACTAGATAGGAAAGTTATGTGTTGGACACATCAGATTTTTAATCTTTAAAAAAAGAAGACTGTTTTTGTCGTTCTTAATAATTTTTAACAATCATTAAAAATATTTTTGCATATTAATGAATATTTGCGGAACAGTAGGTAGTTTAAAAAGTGTCGAAATGAAATCGATAGAAAAACATATAAACTTTATATGCTATTCTTACGAGTATGTACCTACATATGACAGTGGACAGTATGGTTCCTTTATTGGCATCCAGTGCTATGACCTTCCTCAACCTGTGACGTGCACTAAACATGCGTATTGCTTTTGTTTTTATTTCAACTTAATTTTTAAACTTTTAACTTTTTACTTTTCATGTATTTGTCTATAAGGTAATGTATCTTTCACAATAATTAACTGTGACTCTCATTATCTCTCTTTTTTTCTCTTACCCGGGGAAAATAAATAACACATCATGGAAGAATATATAAGTTCATTAGAAATATACCAGGTGCAGTGTATTTTTAATTAACTTGATTTTTTATTCCTAAAACATTTATGTAAAAACTTTTTTTGTAAATGAAATCGAAATATTAAGGAATGTTACTTTTTGTACACACTTTGTATTTTTTTTTGTATTCTATAGTATTTATTTAACTGTGATTTGTACCCTATATAATAACCAAAATAATATTTTTTCAGTTACAGATCTATCGGAAGGAGTAGACTACGACATACAAGTCGTAGCCCTATCCCTGGACGACCAGCAATCTGTGAGTTCTAAAGTAAGGGGTACCTTTCCAGGATTTAAAAGTATTAGAGCTGTAGCGACCGGTATCATTGCAGGGTTGGCTTTCCTAGCAGTGGCGTTCGTCGCCGTATATTACATCAAGAGAAAATGGTACCGACCTTACCCTCAACCGTGCATCAAAACGTAGTTGTGATTTGCAATGTTAGAGAGATCGCAGGCCATGAATGTATTTTAATATTTTCTTTTCCCTCAGATAAATTAAAAATAAAAATCGGCCAAGTGAGAGTCGGACTTATTCATGCATAAAGGGTTCCACACCATCGTACAATATTTAATAATACTATGTAGGTACTTATTAAATACTTTTTAAAATCCAGCAAAAAACCGTTTTTAGTAAGGGCGCTTCCTTTAATTCTGTGAAAATTTCAACTGTCTACCTATTACGAATCACGAGATACAGCCCACTGACAGATGGACATGTGGACGGACAGCGGAGGCTTAGCAATAGGGTCCCATTGGTTACCGTTCCGGTATGGAACCTTAAAAAAGATAGGTAACGGGTGCCGTTTAATATAAGCTTTGTTTAAAGCCATTATATGTATACAAAAAATTGACAGTTTGGTACTCCAATGGCCTATATTATGTAGTCCAGAATCTTATATCTATATCTAAATAACACATTTATAATTAAATACATTGACGACAGTTTTTAAAACAATATAGAAATCGTAAATAAAATTCTACGTTCGGTAGGAAATAGGAACATTCCATCTATAATTAACCAAGATACTGAAAACGTATTTGCTATTAAAAGAATCTAAAGCGCAGCTACCAATAGGAAATATATTTCTAAAACTACATTAAATGAAAAATCTATCAAAGTTCACGAACGTTTACCACAAGTTATTAATATTGCTAATTGTAATATTGGCAATGTAAATTCTCATCTAGTTAATTAGTCATCAAATTTAGTAAACGATATAAAGGTCAAACTATAAATAATATTTTTATAAGGGTATTCCTATGACAGCTTCAAAATATTAGGACTAATTTTTGACAGTAAATTATCCTCGATAAACCAGGAGCGATTGCCTGAGAATTAATTTACTAAAAATGTTGGTCCATCATCATTGGGAG